AGCTGAAGGGCTCCCTAATACCTTAGGGAACTAGACCACTTTTCATGTAGCCTTAGAGAGCTCACAACTGTCTATTCTAGTGATACTTCCAGAATGGTGGAGTGAATAATTCAGGATATCTTCTCCCTAACAAAATATTTAGTGGGAAAAAATATTTTTCAAAATCATTTAAAGCTCTCAAAAGTGTCCTAAGGGCATACAGCAAATGAAAAAACATTCATTCAAAAAAATCTACCAAGTCTTGGTAAGAACAATAAGAGTCTGTGGCATTTGGGCCATGACTTGCTTTCCTCTCCCACTCTCAGCTCCATGTTACAGAAATGCTCTATTCTAGGCAAGTGCATCCAAGAATATGGGGACTCCCTCTCCCCTAGTTCTCAGTTTAGAGCTGTGGTTTCACCTTTGAAAGGGCAGGCTACCAGTGTTCCTCATTCCTTTGATCCTATTCCCATGATAGAATCTCTATTCTCAGGCATGGCTAGGAGGACTGAGGCCCCATTCCTCTACCCAGGCTCTACTCATAGAATAGAAACTCTCCCAAGTGTAGCCATTGAGAATACTGGACCCCTGTCTCAGCCCACTCATAGGTAGTAGTCCCACACTGGGAACTGCAAGCTGAGAAGACCAGGAGCTATCACCCTCCCTTCCTAGTACCCACTAAGGATGTCACCCTGGGTGACACTGGGTGGTGCCTCTATCACTGCACCTAGCTCCTGTGCAGTAGCACAGAGGTTCTCCAAGGGGAGGAAGCAAGCCATAAGAAGCAAGAGCTCCATAGTTCTTATTGAGATCAGTGACTTTATTTGGTGCAGAGCATGGAGAATTTCATGCCTAAGCGTGTTGGTGAAAACCATGGAGAGTTTGGTGGAGAACAATTAAGGGGGTGATTGTAGCTTCAATATACTGCTAGCATGAAGCAAAATGGTAGAACCATGAGAACATTAACAGAAAAAACCAGGGAAAGAATCAAGATGGGTCCTCCTGGGATCCCAGTAAACCCTGACATTGGAAGGCTACACACATGTCCTAGGCTGTACCTATTCTAGACCAATAAGAACGAGACATGGATCAGACTTGAAAACATTTCCCAAGCTGCACATAGATATATCAACAAAGAGCAGAAGCTTCACTGGTTTAAGAGGCTTAAGTACCACCTCTGACCAAACACTGGCTGAACAATAAGCTATTCTGAACTCGGATAAAATACTATCAAGTCAAGATTAAAAATAAAATCACATACATCCTAGCAATCTGGAAGACTCTGTGTATGCCCAAGGATACACCCTCTCAGGAGTAATTTAGAGAAGGAACTTCCAAGGCACTAGGCCTTGGCTGAAGTAGGGGAAAAAACAAACTCCTTAAGTTGTAATAACATACTCCAAGCCACATAAACATCCAATGGTAAAGAATAAAAATATAGCTGGCTAAGGGGACCTCAGCATAACCTTTGCCAATAAGTGGCTTATGCAGATCCAGGGGTGACTCCTAGGGAATCAGGCTAAATGATAAAATAAGGGAAAATAAAAACAATCTGAACAGAGATACCAGAAGCTTCACACTGTAGAAGAAATAGACTACACAGAGTTAGTACAGCCAAGTTATTAAACAAATGAACAACCAAACAACAAAAATAGTATCAATATGCAATCAACCTACAATGGTTATGGGAGAAGGAGGAAGAAGAATCAGTATCCCAAGTTGCTATTTTATTTAAATGTTCAGTTTTTTATTTTAAAAGAAATCATAAGATATGAAAAGAAACAAGAAAGTGCGACCCATACACAGAAAAAAAGAAAGGTCAGCACTAGAAACTGCCTTTGAGGGGGCCCATATGTATGACATAGCAGACAAAGACCTCAAAGAAGCTATTATAAGACTATTCAAGGAACTAAAGGAAACCATACTTACAGAATTAAAGGAAGGTATGATGACAATATCTCATTAAATAGAGAATATCAATAAAGAGATTGAAATTATTAAAAAAAAGAAAGACCAAATGGAAATTCTGGAGTAAAAAAGTACATTAACTGAAAAGAAAAATTCAGTACAGAGGCTCAATGGTAGACGTGAGCTAGCAGAAGAAAGAATTAGTGAACTTGATGATAGATTGATAGAGGTTCTAAAGAACATAAAGAGAAAAGAATGAAAAAAAGTGAGCTAAGCCTCAGAGAAATGTGGGACACCAACATACTCAAAATAGAAGTTCTAGAAGGAGAGGAGAAAGAGAAAGGGGAAGAAAAAAATACATGTAAAAATAATACCTGAAAAATTTCCAAATTTTATGAAAAACATTAACCTACACACTCAAGAAGATCAACAACCTCCAAGTAAGATAAGAGTGAAGATATCCATACCTAGATACATCACAGTCAAATTGTTGAAAACCAAAAATAAAGAGAAAATCTTAAAAACAATAAGGGCAAAATGACTTGTTATGTACAAAGGAACCCTAAAACATAATTGCTGATATCTCATCAGAGACGATGGAGTCCAGAAGGCAATGAGATGACCTATGCAAAGTGCTGAAAGTAAAACAAAACAAAACAAAACAAAACAAAAACAAACAAAAAAACTGTCAACCAAGAATCCTA